GGTCTTTGTAAAAATGTTCTTGAAGTTTGTTTGGCCGAACATTCAGTTTCTGTATTTTGGTTTCTCAGACCATCAAGCTTTTCACTTTGGTCTGGCCTGGTGTATAAGTTCTGCAATTTTTTTCGGATAACCAAAGAATGACAATGAACTGACTTGTGATTTTGACCGTATACTCTCACTGCAAACTGCGTCTGAATAACTGCGATCCATGCCTGCTTCTGGGCGACGTTTAAGGACTAACCCCTGCCAGATGGTTTGGTTATACTTTATTCTTTGACTGATGAAGCTATTGATGGAGTGAACGTTAAGAATGTCTGTGTTCGTTCGCATGAATAATGAGGAGGGAGGGTGGAGCCAGCTGGTTCGCATATATAGTTTAGGTCACAAATGTGAGTCAAACCAATCGGTAGGACAGCAACATGCATCTCTGACATTTTGAGAAACAAACATTAGTTTAGATTCTGGACACAAAAAACAATAATCATTGTTTGAATCTAATTAAAAAATAATGCTTCTGCTTCTAACAGGCTCAAGGCTGCTCGGCTTCTTGTCAGGCTGTGACCCAGTGAGTCTAACACAGATTCGTGAGACATCTTATAAGACAGCATGTCCTGCAGGTTCTAATTTTTCAGATCTCCGAAGCTACTTCTGGCCAAACTACAACCTATGTACATTGCAATAACTTCTTATCTAAGAGCTAATCTACTCTGTCGTATCTTAGCTGTCTAAGCTATAAGTAAAGCTAAAATTTACCCTTTTTCATTCATACTCTTCACCCCCTTGAAGTCCAGTTGTGTTAATGAAAGGAAACACCCTCATTATTTGAGGAAGCCATGCTTTCATTGGAAACGGCATAGCCTCTAGGGTAAAACCAGTACGTTTAGTACTGTGCTTTGGAAATGTACCCTATCATTCCAAGAAATCTACAGCTCCTCGTATATATCTTGTCAACATACTCTCAGCCACATATGATCCTCGACTGTGTCTTATTCCATTTTTCAGTCTATCAGGATATCCTTCTCTCCATGAAATAGCTTTTAACTACGTGAGGGCATTGCATTTACCAAAATAATTGCTGTCCATTGATTCACCATAGTTACTAGCAGGAAGACTGTTTGCACTTCAGTCTTGATGGTGACCATAGTGAAGAGTTTACAGCATAAGATATATGCGGACCTCTTCTGATTACTAGTACTTTTAAAAAAGTGTTACTTTATTGATTTTTCACGATAGTGATCTATCCGATGTCTGATCGCGCCTGCGAAAATGTCATGCATATCATGTAAACTTACCTGTATATACAGAATATAAATTATCGTTCTGCGAGAATGATGATACAACAGCGAATGAACGGCATTCAAGAATGAGAAATATATTTTATCCATATGGACAAAAAGGAAAAATGTATCATTTGGAGGAGGCCACTTAAATAATAAACGAAAGTTGGAATCAGTACATAGCTACTAGTGATCTGAAAAATTTAGTGTGTTAGGGGAGACGTCTGTAGGCTGCAAATTCAAAGCTACAGGCGTTGATGAAAATGTTTACCCCAAAGAACTGGAAAAAAAAGAATTAGAGTAGCATGAATGCACAGACCCAAGAGATAGGAAATATCACTGACCTGGGTTTAGGGAATCATGGTAAATGCGACAGATTTATGGAAAATATTTCACGTTCATAGACAAAAAATACATATATTCCATCTAGGTTTCGGCTGAAACCAACGTAGAGTTCTCTGTTAATTAAATACAGCCGGGGAAAAATTTAAATGAAATTACGGAAATACTGATTCTAAACAAAAATTATGCATAAATAATATTGAGACATCAGTGTACAGAGTAGCATTATACGAATACAATAAAAGGGATTAAAAGGCATCGCGAAATACCCGCGAAGAATTCGAGAAATTAGTAGATATATAATATTAACAAAAAGTTCAATAATATATAAAATCAATAAAAATAAGACATATTTTCGGTTAATGCATAGGTACCGCGGACGAAACAAAAGATCACCCGAAAATCCAGAGATTCCTTAAGGTTAATTCCGTCGCGCCACTAACACTTCATATCTCAAAGGGAGTTAACAAGCCCACACTAGAAGCAAATGCAGACAACACCGCCCAATAAAGAAGAAAACCTCATGTGTTAATCGAAGTGCATGGGCGGTTGTTTTATCCGGACAACCCACAGAGAGAAAGTAACCTAAGAATTACCAATAGGCCATTTGTGCCATGGTGTTTGAAACGATGAGTGTTGGCTTTGAGTATCAGCGGCAACACCATAATAATCTGGGGATTGCAGGTATATACATCTAACTAGCCGCAAATAGGACGAAATGCACACCCCAGATTCCACTGATGGCCACTACTATCCAACAAATAACATCATGTTAGTCCTCAGACATCAACGAAGTGTCTGCACTAGGAGCCGACATGTCAACAGTGATTGAACCTTTCGGTCAAACATAATCAATCTAGAGGAAATACAAAATTGACTTAAACAAAGAGAAGGCGATCAGAATACAACTATGGTCATCTGAAATGCAAAATACTTGTCAGGATCGCTAGAGTTGAGCGGTGTGACCAACTAGAGACCACACAGTAACCAATTAATGAAGAATAACAACGGACAAAAATCTTGAGAGAATGATCGAGAACATTAAAATTAACCACATGACTAAACTGTGAAGCGCCGCACCAGACCTTCGTCGATCAGTTTGGAATGCAAAAGTTTTGCGGTCGACATATTCTAATCCAAAGTTCTATGAGTAGGAGGACGCCATCCTTGGTCATTCAAGAGAAACGACTTCCTCTAGCCACATCGCTACTGACCACCAGCACGAGCCTGCACGCAGAAACCAAGCACCGTATTAATAGGTGCTTATGGTCTAACTACAATACACACAAAATTACTCCCATGGCAGGACCTGAAGGGACATTCATTTTGACAAACACCGACCATTCAGTAAATGGAATATGCAAGCTTGACCGCCACGCTAGGGCAGTAGCTATCAGTCAGACATACACCATTGAATCTTGTTAGGTTATGCGATTAAACTGAAAACGGCTACATATGAAGAAGTCACAACATATACTGAATCGGGAAAACTAGGCACTTTCAGTGTCTTCTCATCATATCTACTCAAGAAGGAGACAAAGAGAGTTTAGGAACCTCTAGTAATGCACTGCAATTTATGGCTAATTACTAAAGCTGATAGGTGTTTCAGCAGCACTATACACCAGACAGTGTAATACTCATACAGAGCGACTAGTGATTTGACAAATCTTAACGACTAAGACGAATATTTCAAGCTTTTAATAACGCAGGCCATTATCATTATGTACTTGACAGGACTTGTACACAAGTATAAAGGAATTTTGTCGGACTTCTAGTTACAGACAGGAATGACATTACAATCCCCAATTTATCATATGCCAGTTGGAGACGTGATAGTGGAAGAGCGTGCACATACATAGAACAAAATTCTATCGATTTCGAGTGATACAACATCATACACTATGTAATTTAAATATTTACTCGCGATATTACGAAAGCAACTTAATAGTATCATGTGTAGCATTGAGGCCATTGTACCAAGAGCAGTAAGATGATAAATACTCACACATTCTGTCAGAAATTGATATTGAATATGAAGCTTAAAGCCCACCGTAGCTACCTGGTTCGGAAAGATGTACAAGTGCTTCCAGCCTTGAAATAATAAACACGAGTGAACCTTAGTACAATAACCCCTATTCAGTAACTCAATTGCAGTTATCTGTTTGACGGCAACATACCATAAACCTAAGAGAATCTGAAACTATATAGTCTACGGTAGTAGTTTAAAGAAATTGCCTCGGTTTAGGGTATGGATAATGTACTGGGTGGTTATATGATAATCTCTCACGTCCATAACAAAATGAGCAAATGCTTTCCTTGTAGATTTCGAACTGACTTCACTATAGAGTCACATTAATTATACACCAAGGCATTATTAATATGTTCTTTCTGGGGAAATAAACTAAGATTATTCTCGGATTTTGACGCGTAACCTCCTATTCTCATCAGTTCAAATATGTTACCAGATAGTCCTTCGCCTCTAACTCAGAAAAGCATTCAATCTCCTGTGGCTGTTAATCTGAGAAGAAATATTTTGTTGGAGGAAAATCGCACGAAAATAATATGCAGATAACGGTTGATTATTCACGTTGCCGTCTGTTCTGCGATGTACAATGATATATCGTATGTGAGGTCTCATGCACATACTGAAGAGTTAAATATTTGTGATAGACTCACAACGAAACAAATGATGTTTAATGTTTCATAAAATCACGTTCTATGTATATAGACAGTAATTATGGCAAAATTTAATGTTTTGATTCCATCATCTGATGATAAATGTTTGTTTGTTTAGTTCGCACTATCAAATAGGTTACGTTAGGTGTCTGTTCAAAATCAGTATCCACTGTAAACATTTTCTTCCAAAGTCTGTTCTAGGGAACATCTGTCAGAGGAAATAGTTGTAACCACTTTGATTCTGTGATACAATTACTGAAGCACACCTGAACTGGAAAAATCATCTGATACTGTAAAGACACATCAAATATCCAATGATTGTTGGTCCATCTTTATTTTGTTGAGTTTTTGTTTTATCGTAAATTTAATGACAACAGTTGATCATCTTTCCAACACTGACTGTACCGGTCTAGGTGAAAAATATTATGACTGCAATAATACGTCACATACATGTGTTTTTACTAACTATTTAAATGTGTGTTGGACTAAACCTGATTCAGTTTTATGTGCTCTAAACAAAATAGAAACTGCGCTTAACTCTTTGCTGTCGCACAAAGACATCTGTAATGATATTTGTTCCTGTATCACATCTAATATTGAACGTCTGATCAGTGCGCTGATTTTTTCCTTATCATCAGAAGACATTCTATGTCGTCGTTCCGCCACACAAAATTTGCGACTTATTTTGCGCGTCGCACTGTTCACTTTGAAGTTGTCTAGGTTAGATGGTTGTGTTAACTCCCTAATTCGCCACGGCCTATCACTCGCTATTCATTCTAGCGTGAGATTGTCGCTATGTGCAGCCCTCCCGCAAATATTTACTGCCGACTTATTTCATTCATACAACAGAGAAAATATTGCTCAAGACTTTGAACCCCTTCTGCGTAGTTTAGTTGACTGCTTCATTTCATCTCTAGGCAATAAGTCCGCTTACAAGTATGCATTTGTTTCTCTGCTCAAAATGTTCGGTGAAGATTTCTGCGCTTTTCTCCATGATACTTGGCAGTGTAAAGCTGCTGACGGAGTTTTGTCTAGTGCTCACCTTAAGTTGTTTCACCGGTGGTCAAATGGAATTCTTCTGACAAATAAAGAGAATAACGTCCGTCAAAATTCTATACACCACTCGATTCATCCATTTGAAAACGGTGAAAATCTATTCAAAATTTCAAACTTGAAGTCTTCCGCACCCATTAACATGACTAGTTCGGATTGTATTCCAACTGGTGCTCATGTCATTCGTTATGAAGATGTGTGTCAACTTTTATCAAAGTCCACATTTATCCAATTAGCGGGTCACTTTGAGAAGATAAGTAACAAGCCAGAAAAAGACGTTCATGTTATTCATCAGGCTGCAGAGGAAATTCTGAAAAATGTAGTTTCCAGAATTAATACTTCGTCAGTGAGAGGAACCATATTTAAGTACTTCTTCTTAGAGAAGTCATCTACAAGGGAATTGTCACAAAATCGTCCTCTTATATGCCTCATGGAATTGTTGAAAAAGTTTATTCGCACTTCTGATCTTAACGTAATTCTCCGCTCATTAGAAATAGCAACATTACTCACGCAATCACTTCAGTGTGCAGGTAGTGAAAGTGACAATGAATTAATGAACAGAGATTTTACGTTAAGCTTCTCTGACTCCGAGTGGTTTACACTTCAGCTTCTCAATATAATTTGTTTTGCTTTGAGTGATAGTAATTTGGTAGTTCGGGTTGCTGGGACTAAGCTTTCACTTGCAGCGGGAAGTTTACCTTTTAGTGCTATGATAATTGTTCGCGAACTTGCTGGTGGAGTGCTTACTTACCATAATGAATATAATACTGAAGAACCAAAACATGAAGTCGAGTTTTCAAATTATGAATTCCCTGTCAGCAAAGTTGACCTGTTGCACAAAGAAGCAGTCGACCTTATTACTACGTTACTTCTAACTTTCCCAAGTTCTGAGTTCGACCTGGCTGAGGTGTGTAAATTGGTCATACTTCCAGGATTAACTGACTTAAAACTACAGGTGAGTTGTTATTTACGTTAAATATTTAACATATGGGTTCTTGGATTGTATGTGTCTTAGTTGTGAGAGATTTTAATGTCTTTCAAATTTTTATAAACATGTCAGACGTTGATATTGTGATCACTAAACATAGTCGCATTTTCGGAAGCGAATATCGGCTTCATAGAGTTAAGTGTCTGGATGTGAACCAACTAGTCGTGGACTTAAATCCCACTCCATCTACTTTAGTCTCAGTAATCCCCAAACATTAGATGTACTATTTAGCAAAGTCCAAAAACTTCCAAAGTGAAACTTAGTTTCGCCAAAAATTAGACTTATGCAGTGTTCTTCTGATGTTACTTTGTCGAAACCCAGTTGGCTGGGTCAGAGTTTTCATGCTCCAGGCTTTGAACCACGCATTTTATGTGGGAGCTTATGATTCTACCCAGATTCGTGGGCTGAAGTTGGTGGAGCGGGGCTCGAACCCTATGCTAGTGCTTAAGCCAGAAAGCCGTGTCTTCACAGTTTTCTGTTGACAGGAAATAAAACTATTCTTCATCCTATCTTCAATCAAAGTTCTGCATGCAATCTGATATTCATTACTGCCTTATTGACATGATTTATTGTCATCTGGCTTTCGTTTTCACATAGTTAAAAAGTATACCGTTTCACCAACGAATAAACAGAGCGAAAAGAATGCTTGATTGTCTTCAGTTTGGATTTGCGAATATAAGCTATTTTGTTGAAATAACAATGGGTGAAATAATTTTTGAGCACTATCAATGTGTCTGCTGAGTATCAACATTTGTCACAATGTTAGTGAAGAATTACTGAGCAGTAGACTACACTGTGGTATAGAAAGTGACATAAATTAGACCATGATGCGTGCTATCATTGGAGGGGATGTTATATGACTAGATTTCATGCAATTATTGGGTCTCAATCTAGTGCATGAATCTGCACAGTCTGTGAGTTTTGTTTTGCTTGTTATTGCTCTGGCAGTCTTGATACTTCTTGAAGGTTGCATGTAGATATATAAAACGATTTCTGGAAGAGGCTAATATTGTTTTGATTTCATTTGAGTGCACTATGTTAAACAATGATGTGAATGATTTATCTACTCAATGTCTATCCACTTAGTGACTTTGTCACCAATATTGGTATTTCAGTATGTAGTGTCAAATCAATCTCCTAAACACTTTACAAATTGACACGGCGTAAGTACCTATCTGCCCATAGTTTGTATCGGTTTTGAAAATCCAATCTTATTTTTTATGCAGGCTTATATGAGTGGGTGGTTATTTTCGCTTTCATCAGAGATTATTTTCTAGCAACTTCTTTTGCAGGCAACTATTTGTTATTGGATTAACAGCCACAGGAGATTGAATGCTTTTCTGAGTTAGAGGCGAAGGACTATCTGGTAACATGTTTGAACTGATGAGAATAGGAGGTTACGCGTCAAAATCCGAGAATAATCTTAGTTTATTTCCCCAGAAAGAACATATTAATAATGCCTTGGTGTATAATTAATGTGACTCTATAGTGAAGTCAGTTCGAAATCTACAAGGAAAGCATTTGCTCATTTTGTTATGGACGTGAGAGATTATCATATAACCACCCAGTACATTATCCATACCCTAAACCGAGGCAATTTCTTTAAACTACTACCGTAGACTATATAGTTTCAGATTCTCTTAGGTTTATGGTATGTTGCCGTCAAACAGATAACTGCAATTGAGTTACTGAATAGGGGTTATTGTACTAAGGTTCACTCGTGTTTATTATTTCAAGGCTGGAAGCACTTGTACATCTTTCCGAACCAGGTAGCTACGGTGGGCTTTAAGCTTCATATTCAATATCAATTTCTGACAGAATGTGTGAGTATTTATCATCTTACTGCTCTTGGTACAATGGCCTCAATGCTACACATGATACTATTAAGTTGCTTTCGTAATATCGCGAGTAAATATTTAAATTACATAGTGTATGATGTTGTATCACTCGAAATCGATAGAATTTTGTTCTATGTATGTGCACGCTCTTCCACTATCACGTCTCCAACTGGCATATGATAAATTGGGGATTGTAACGTCATTCCTGTCTGTAACTAGAAGTCCGACAAAATTCCTTTATACTTGTGTACAAGTCCTGTCAAGTACATAATGATAATGGCCTGCGTTATTAAAAGCTTGAAATATTCGTCTTAGCCGTTAAGATTTGTCAAATCACTAGTCGCTCTGTATGAGTATTACACTGTCTGGTGTATAGTGCTGCTGAAACACCTATCAGCTTTAGTAATTAGCCATAAATTGCAGTGCATTACTAGAGGTTCCTAAACTCTCTTTGTCTCCTTCTTGAGTAGATATGATGAGAAGACACTGAAAGTGCCTAGTTTTTCCGATTCAGTATATGTTGTGACTTCTTCATATGTAGCCGTTTTCAGTTTAATCGCATAACCTAACAAGATTCAATGGTGTATGTCTGACTGATAGCTACTGCCCTAGCGTGGCGGTCAAGCTTGCATATTCCATTTACTGAATGGTCGGTGTTTGTCAAAATGAATGTCCCTTCAGGTCCTGCCATGGGAGTAATTTTGTGTGTATTGTAGTTAGACCATAAGCACCTATTAATACGGTGCTTGGTTTCTGCGTGTAAGCTCGTGCTGCTGGCTAGTAGGGATGTGGCTGGAGGAAGGCGTTTCTCTTGAATGACCAAGGATGGCGTCCTCCTACTCATAGAACTTTGGATTAGAATATGTCGACCGCAAAACTTTTGCATTCCAAACTGATCGACGAAGGTCTGGTGCGGCGCTTCACAGTTTAGTCATGTGGTTAATTTTAATGTTCTCGATCATTCTCTCAAGATTTTTGTCCGTTGTTATTCTTCATTAATTGGTTACTGTGTGGTCTCTAGTTGGTCACACCGCTCAACTCTAGCGATCCTGACAAGTATTTTGCATTTCAGATGACCATAGTTGTATTCTGATCGCCTTCTCTTTGTTTAAGTCAATTTTGTATTTCCTCTAGATTGATTATGTTTGACCGAAAGGTTCAATCACTGTTGACATGTCGGCTCCTAGTGCAGACACTTCGTTGATGTCTGAGGACTAACATGATGTTATTTGTTGGATAGTAGTGGCCATCAGTTGAATCCAGGTTGTGCATTTCGTCCTATTTGCGGCTAGTTAGATGTATATGCCTGCAATCCCCAGTTTATGATGGCGTTGCTACATATACTCAAAACCAACACTCATCGTTTCAAACACCATGGCACAAATGGCCTAGTGAGTTGTCGGGTTGAGAGAATCACCTACACACTTCCATCAGCTCATAATTTTTTTGTTCTCTCACTGACACCAATATCTGCATTTACTTCTAGTGTGGGCTTGTTAACTCCCTTCGAGATATGAAGTGTTAGTGGCGTGACGGAAATAAACTCAATGAACCTCTTGGTTATCAGCTAATCATGAGTCCAGGATTTTATTTGAGTGAAGTAATGCTAGTATTCAAAACTTCTGTGAAATATAACCATCTTTTGGTCGTGTCGCATTCTGTCTGTCTGTTTTCAACATAGACCTTTGCACCGATGTGCAGTAGTTCAATTCGCCATATTCCATGTAGCACACGAAGCAAGAGAAGAGAGTATAAAGAAACAAAATAGTGACAGTAGACAGGGATATGAGAGAAAAGGAATAGTAATAACGAAAAACAATTTAGTTTCATTGGGTATTATAAGTTACAGGTAGTGGATGCATCTGAGTCATTGTCTCCAGCCATCGGTGTTTGCCGTCCTGAAGAACCCAACCAGGAAGTCTACATCCTCCAACGTGGCTGGTTTAAACTAACTGTTGTGGATTTGATTGACTGGTGCCATGTTTTGGTTTGACCGTCGCTAGCTCTTTTCCAACCTGACCCTATGGCAGCGAACATTGCCCATCAGTCGAGAAAGGCAATGGCTAGGCATATGTAACACATGTCCTTGCTATCTCAGTCGATGTAACTTCACATCCTCATCGATTGATTTCCCCTCCTTACCTAGCACCCGACGCCTACTATACCACTTCACACGAGAGATAGAACGCAGACACCTATGATCAAAGACAGCTAGCATTTTCATGTCCTTCACTCTCAATGACCAGGTCTCCCCCACAGCCATGAAGGAGGACGAAGCGGACTGATGAGCAGTACACCCGCCCTTTGGTCGATAGCCAGCTGGATATCATGTCTACGCCTGAGACGGCGTAAACTGGCATATGCGAAACTAGCCCTCTGTATCCCTGCTGAAATTTCGTCAGCGATCAACCCACTGGCACTGGTTGATACAACTTCCCAAATAAGTGAAGTGGTCAACGTGCTCTACCACTTCACTCCATATTTCTAAGCTAGGAGTCAGGGTAGTCCAGCCCTGTAACATCATCTTACATTTGGCGGGAGCGAATCACATACCAAACATTCGTAGATTGCAGCTCAAGGTGTTCAGAAGACTCTGCATTTTGTCAGCGTCTTCACCTACGAGGACTTTATCATCTGCATATTCTAAGTCAACGAGATTATCCCCTGGTAACAAGTCAATTTCTGAGTCTCTGAAGTGACTTAGGGTTAAGTCCATTAGTACATCTGTGATGAAATTAAATAGAAATGGGGACAGTGGGCATCCCTGTCGTACACCACTAGTTGTCACAAGTTCAGATGACAACTCGCCGTAAGCTCTCACCTAGTTGGGTGCATGAGTTAGAGTAGAGTGCCTTGGTCAGTGCAGTGTATTTTTTCGGTATTCCCTTTACAACCAAGCATCGCCAGAGTACCTCGTGGTCGACAGAATCGAATGCCGTCTTTAGGTCAAGAAATATGACGATTGTTGGACGCCGGTAAGTATGCCTATGTTCCAGAATTTGTCGAAGGATGAAGACGTGATCAACACACTCTCTTCCTGGTCTAAGCCTCCCTGGTTCTCTCGTGTTTGTTCCTTATGTGAACTGCCTAGTCTAAGCATGATTATTGAGCCTAGAACTTTAGAAACTA